CGTGAAGCCTCAATACTATCAATAAAAGAAAAATTAATTTGTTTGGCAATATGGAATTAAAATGACATCAATTTACTAATAAAATATATGATAATAAAAAATATATCCTTTGAAAGCAGTTTCCACTGACCAAAATGTATTTTCCACAATTTGCTCATGTGTCTTCTTGTTTATAAAAACAATAATTGGGTTTCAACAAAAGTTCTGAAAAAGAGACAGTCCTGAGAAAAGTTGTATATTGAAATATTTTTCAAAACCTGAAATAATTTACATACAAACAGAAATAGAATAAAAGTTATCATATAATACAGTTATTAGTATAAATCTCCATAAAAAAATTCAACTTCCTTTATCTAGCCATTTCCTGTCCATGGTGTATGTGATAATGACAAAAAGAAGAAAAAATCAAGAAAAATGCTATATATTTATATCAAAAAAAAAATAAATAAATCTGCTTTGAAGAGAACAAAGCATGGTGGTTAAAAGAAATGAAAAGAAGAGAAAACAACAGTAAGGAAAGAAAGAAAGAAAAAAAAAAAAAGAAAAAGACCCAAAGAAAACTCACGTCCAGGGTCATCACAGAAATGCAGGTCGATCCTCTCTGAGTAGAAGTGGTAATGTCTCCGGCACGTCGTACTTGTTGAAGATCTTGGTGATATTGGACTGAGACTGGTGCCCTCTACCCGACCCACTGCTTCCCCCACTTGCACTTCCCCCTCCCCCTCTAGCCTGCTGCATCTGCTGGGCTTGGAACTCAGGCAGGGACTGAAAGTATATGAAAACTCTCTTGAATACAAATACAAAGTAAGGGGAAGAAGAAAGAGAAAGAAAGAAAGATGAAGACTAGGAGGTATTCAGGAAACAAAATTTCTCCCTATGACTGTTTATTCACTTGACTGTTCTTCTAAAGTTATGCAATATGACATAGTGAAGAAACATTTCAAGCATTTGCCCTTTAATCTATAGGAATATTACAATGACTTCACTATTTACCTCTAACTTCCGAACAGCTTTGGTCTTCTGGTTCTGTTGTGTTGCTTTCCGTACCAAGTCTGATAGGGAATCGAGGAAATGGAAGGCTGCTGTCAGCTGTGAGTCAGTCAGCACCCAAAGCAAGTCGTCCATTAGGATCACTAGTCGGCAACCAATCACTGTACAATCTGTTGATGGGATAAATAACAAAGCAAAAATTAAGTAAACATTCCCGCTTAACTCAATGCTGCCTGGAATGTGTTGCATTCACTTTAATAGCTTTGTTAAATGTTTCTGAACACAGATGGTTCTACCAGAGTTTAGCCACAAAGGAGTCAATTAGTAGATCTTGTGATCCCTCCTTTCCTTGAAATAATGGGAAAATACTTATTTTTACTAATGCTATCAATATTGATAGTGTTATTTTTGTTATAAACATTATAATCATTATATTGTTATTGACACTGCTAATAGCAGTATTAAATACTAGAAAATATTATCGAAAACCTAGGAAAATGGTAAACAGGCGAGACAGGTACTTCTTGTAACTGGCTGATCATTGACCTAGTACTTGTGGAGCCATCTATATGTAAAAACAATTACTAAATCAAACACATAGTGGGCATGGCATGTGTGCACATGCATGTGGTTAATCTTGTTTTCTTCTATTCCACTCTAGGTCTGTGCATCCTAGAGGATGACAAAAAAGTGTATTTCTCAAAGGAGAGACCGACACTAAGGAAATTTATCTCAGCTCACCAGCAAGCCTCTTCTTTATTGTGATGCGACAGCGAGCCTGGTTTGTGATGAGTCGCAGAGGAGTCAGTCCCTGGTCTCTGGTAGACCGTGCTTCCACTCTCAAGGTCTGCCATGAAAGCTGTGAATGACAAAAATATATAGTAATTATAAAAATAAGAGTAAAAATTTGTTTCATCAAAGTATATTACCACTAAAAACAATATAATATATATAATAATCATCTCATAAACAAAGAGAGAGAGAGAGAGCAAGAGAGAAATAAATAAACAGGATCTATATCAACCATCCACCATTTTTTTTCTTACAAGCACATGAAACTAATACCTCTTTGAAGATAAGAAGTTCCCCCTTGTCTGGTTCTTTTAGCCTGGTCATGCGCAGATCAGCTTTCTGCCAGTTTGGGTTTTTGGAGTCCAGCATGATGCGTGAGAGCTGATATTTGCAAAGGGAAAAGATGTCAATATTTAGTTCCTGTTCCTAATATTTCTGACTGAAAGGAGCAGTTGAGAAAAAAATAATTCTCAAGTACCAATTCACCAAAATGAATACATTACATTCTTACACTGCATATATTACACTAATGGAGAAAGTTTTCACACAATCTAATTAATAAATCTAATGCATATAAGGGATACATAATACAGGAAACACTATAAATATAAGAATGATCATGTAAAGGCAAAAACTGAAATAGTGAATGAGACATATACTAATTTAATTTCACACTAAAATGCATTTTATCTTTATAAAATACAAGAGAGATCTCATCCTTTTCTATTCTTGAAGAGACTGTCATCAGGATTTTTTTCCCAAATGTCAAGCCTTACTGGGAATTTTTTTGGCAGATATGTAGCTTTGCCATTCCCTTGCGTGGCAAAAACAGCTGTTCTGCGTTTGGTAACCACACAACACCTTGAAACTGAAGCTGAAGTAGCTGATCATTGATGGATAAATGATTTGAGTTTCAAAGGTTTAATTCATAGCAAAAATAGTTCGCTATTCTCGATCAAAGCGTGCGATAAACACTTCTATGAAAAGGGAAGTGTGTGCCAAGGCATGCGTGAGCGATCGCACGGCATTCCCAGTAAGGCCTGAGTGTAGTTTATAACTACCAGTAACTACCATATCAAATACATAAAAAATTTACTTACTTCTTCTTTATCATGAAATATTCAAAATCACTTCTAAAGTATTGATAATTAGAATCAACTCAAATAAATAAAAGAAATGGAGAGATAAATGATCTGCACTTACCACAAAGAGTAGGAAACAACAAAGGAATCTCAAATTATAAGAAACAGCAGCACACTAATGTTACTAATGATCTAACGAAACTTTGGAAAAGACTGGAAAAGGAAAGAAAGAGAAACAACCTGAAAACAAAGATGGGACAGAAAAACATATAACATTTCTGAATACATTGGACTTCCAGACAATGCCTAGATAAATTTTGAAAAGGATTTTCTGAAAAACATAAGTTTAATATTGTTTCCTTTCCTGTCCAAAAAGAAGAAGAAGAAAAAAAAATGAATAATGAAGAAGAATTAAAAAAACAACATTATAGACAGTAAGTCAATGAAACTTGAATCTCAACATCTAAAATATTTATCCATAAAATATATGCATGCAGTATAATTGGAAAGATCAGCATGAAAATATATAAGCATTTCATTACAAGACTATCAGGAAATGCTGACACCATAGTGTAAAGACAATTTAAAAACTAGCCTAGAAAACAAGTAACAACTAAACTAACAAATAAATATCATGTCACAATCAAGTTTATGATTTTGCAAAATGGAGAAAACATTGGGGTTACCATAAGGAGCTATATGAAATCTATCTTTTCTTCAAAATGAATAAAATGAAATGAAGTCTAAACAAATCCAAGTACATTTTACAAGACTCCAAGTAATAATAACTAACTATTCACTGACAATGGATAACTGATTACATAATAACTACAACCACTCACTAAATAAACATACACTGACAGCACACATAGGCCAAATCAAATAGTTATATGAATGTTAAAATAAGCTCACACTGATTTCTTCCCTACAAAGAATACATACAAGAAAAATTCCAGTATGCCTCTCTCACTCAGATATTGAAATAATCATATTACCAAACTACACAAGTAAATGTTGGAACTCTTTAAAAACAAAAGGAAGTAACACTAAGCTTCAAAGAAGACACAAAAAAGCTTGCTAAGCAGAAGCTAGACAGCAATTATTGAATACCTGGAAAGAAGCATGAAAAGCTGGACTGCAGAATGTAATGAGAACAGAGTTCACGGTGACAGTCATGCCATCAATGACTTTATCTGCAAAACCATAGCGTCCACCCGAGCTGTAGGAGGGGAGGACGGAGGAGCTGGTCTGAGAGCGCAGGTCTGTACATGTTTCCATCTCTACCTGCACCTCATCCAGGCTCTGCAGCAAAAAATATAAATAAATGAATAGACAAATAAACAAATAATAGTGAATATATAATATTCATGACAAAACAGAATGCAACACGAACAAAACTTGATGAAATACATGCAGTGGCTCTAGAGAAAAATACTTGTATTCTTCTTCCCAAAGATAAAGAATGAGTGGAACATAGAATGAAGCAGAGAATCTCTTACCACTAAAATGGGCACACTCTTGAGCTTGGTCCATTGTATCTTGAGGTTAACGCGATTCACTAATGCCCGTTTTTATCCGCAACCAAGCCGGAAGTTCAAGGAGGTCTGTGAGAACTATTTCATTGAGCTCCAAGTTGGTGAGCTCACCCTCTCCCTTCAGTGTGCTCACATTCACACTATCTGATGACAAGTTCTTTGCAAATCTGTAATAAAACAGTTACACTTAATGATCTAAATAACTTTTTCTAAATTCATGCAAATAAAAAGCTGAATAAAACAAAGATATTTATATTCCCTATGGAAGGGCCACTTGTCATGAGACAAATCTATGTCCCTGTCTTCTATTTTCTTGATCTTAGCCTCCAAATTTTCAACAGTAATACTGTGAATTTTCTGTGTAAGTTTATGGTCATTTCAGGAAGAATAAAAGTAATCTGACATTTAACTGACACATAGTTTTCATATTCATAATGATAAAAAAAAATTGTTCTCTTAATCCTGCTATGCATAAATTCTTTTCTTGAGAGAGCATTTCAGAGTAGACTGGCCCATCAATCTGTGTTCTTATTGAAAATGATGGAAGATTATACAAATTCTATGAAGAAAAACTATGATTATTCATACGGATTAACATACGTTTCTTATCAGATTTGTTTTTTCTTATCCTTTCAATTAATTTGCTGACAGAGATGACTAAGAAAAGGCTCTGCTACCATACACTATGCTAATACTAAATAATATGAAGTCAACTATAACTGCTACTAGATTTTTTGTGATGTCTGTATAATGGGAAATCCTCTTTGAAAGTGACTTCAAACAAGATATGTCGACTCCCAATATTGTACAATGAGAAAGGTATCATTTGTGAAGATTGAAAAAATTTAATGTTCCAGTGACCTTGAAATGTCCTTGAGATAATTTTGAAAGGATGGTCCAGAAAGAGAGCCTACAATAATATTGACACTTTAATTATTTTGAATTTCAACATTTATTCTTTGTTTAATGGTAATAGAAATACCCGGATCACTTTAAATCACCCTGTAATTCACACACAAACTTAACTTAAGAGGTCTGATCATATCTACACTAAAATACAAGCAAACATCTATGGTAAATATTCATCTCCATAATTTGCAATAAAAATAAATACTAATAATCTCTTACAGACTACCATCTTGGAACTGACCTCCAATTTCATTTGCTATACTGATACTATCTCTTTATCTCTAAGTTATAAGCAAATAATGCAACTCAAAGAATACTCTGGACCGAATACATATCAATCTGACAGTAACAAACATGACATAAGGAAAACTCCAACAACTTTGGCGACTTGACATTCGAGATGCCTTCCTTCGTCATAGCAGTTATTCCTACAAACGTTCACGAAAACCTCAATGCAAAGATTGATGAACAGCAACACCTAATTCAATCAAGTATAACTCGAAATATAACCCCCGAATCAAAATCGAATTGCCACATAGACTCTCGATCTCCCCCCTTGAAACCTTCGCCTCATACGTCACTTCCCTTCGCCACACACTTCTCCCTCGCTCTCCTTACTTCGACAAGTGTTTCAGGATCTGGTTTTTGATGAGGCCAGCCATCTCGGGGTCGGATTCAGAGGAAGAGGAGAGATTATTCCATCAATTATTTCATCCCCGATCAATCAATCAACTTCATGTTTACTCTGGGTTGGGGAAGGAGGTCGCTTGCACACCGAGTCCGAGGCCAAAAGAAGCTAAGGGATGACGTTCGATATTAATGTCCATATATATCTTGTTTTATTATTATTGTTATTATCATTATCATTATCATCATTTAATCTCTGATAATTTATTGTTTTACTCAATTCACCTCTTTCTAAGTGTTGTTCGGTGTTTCCGAATTGTCCTTTAATGCTTGATATTTTTTATTTGTTGTTTATCTTTAATTTCTGTGCTCATTTGTTGTCTAATAAGCATAACTCTCCTCGACCCATTCCGACGGTGGACCATCAGCGTATTTTTAGATATGAAGTCTTGAAGTTGGTTTATTTGGTGTAATTAGCTAAAGCTCCAGCTACATAAAATGACACTCGTTGTACATCGCTGTGCTCTTCTTATTGCATCATTGATAATCTGTGCTTGTTTATATATCATACCAGGGTATTTCTAATGAAAAATAATAGTTTTTGAAGATGCTGCAAAACAAGATAGATATGAACTATTCACGAAAAACTGAAGAAAAGAAAGAAAAAAAATCTGTCGCGTAATACGATGCAGAGAAAGGAGCGAGAATGAGTCATAGAAAAAAATATTTCCATGTAAAATATTTCCTCTTATGTTTTACATGGAAATATAAAGAAATTAATTTCTTACTCTCCTAATTTTTGTTTTACTATAACCTAAACTCTAGTTTTGCTCTCTTAATTTCTCCCCAAGCACTTATCTGGCTTCCTTTGACATTCAATTTCAAGAGAGAGTGAATCAAACCTTCAAATCTATAAACACGAATGAAAATGTAAACAAATCTCAAAAGCTGAAGGATAAGTCAAAAAAACAAAAGAGCATCGTATTTTTAACATTTATAGATTCAAAAAATACTTTGATCAAAGTAAATTCTTTTTATATAAAACTTGATTCTATATATCTAAGATTTAGGTCCTTATCGCCCGCCTAAAATATAATTTTCGCTCTTGTTTTGGTAAAGCAATTCACTGGAAATTAATGGAAATTGAAGGAAACTGAAGGATGTAAATGACGTAACTAGCGGCATATCATCAGTAGTGAAGGTAGTTATCGGATTTGTATGTATATTGAATTTGAATGAAGATATATTTTGTATTATGAGGTATTTTGATTTCTTGGATGTTCAATGTTCCTGTTACATCACTTACATGGAAAGAACATTTGCGGAATTCATTCTCAGCAAATCGAATATAATATTTTATAGAAAGAGGTTGCTTAATTAAGGTTTTATTATTTGTTTCAGATTGCAGGTCATTAGTGTCGCATATACAGAGCTGAAGGAAATATGAATATCTAAAAATGGTAAGCATATTCTGTGCTAAGTAATTTGATTATTATTTATTACTGTATGGTCTGGGTAATTGTCCAGATAAGAAACTTTACATACAAAGAAAAAAGAGAAGTTTAAGGCCATAAAAGATAGATAGAACATATAATGTGTGCAAGGCAAAGATAAGGTCACAGTTGCTTATCAAATCTTGGCTTGTGTGTTTTAATCTAGCAATGTTTTGGCCTCCGTGTCTTGCTCTCTGGTAAAGGCAAACAAAACAATGTCCTGACAACATAGAGTATAGAGCAACATGTTGATCGTTCTGACAGCTTATCAATAAATGAGGAACAGATCATGCTATATCATGCAGAATGTATGTTGAATGTGTTGCTGCTGGGGTGGGAAACATTGAAGCCATGGGGTTACTTTATGCAGTACATTTTTTTGACAGTTTTCACTGTTTTTAAAACTTAAACATTTAATGTGCTATTATTCTATTTTTCTTCAGTTCTGAGTAGATATATACAAATATATTATATGCTATACATGTCACAATATCATGGAAAAAAAAAAGAACTACAATGTGTTTGTTATAATGTGTTTTTTTTCTTTAAGTCTCAACTATGAGCACAGCCAATTGCCAGCATTGTTATTAATGCACCAAATATTTGTAGCGCCGCAGCCTAGCTCCAAGCCAGCTGCTGAAGCGCAGTTTGGAGATCAATCGGAGTCAGATGACAGAATTGGAAGTCCTGTTACGTCAAAGAGGAAAAAGACAGTTGAGAATGAGTGTTCGGGCATTCCTTTGTCACCCTACCGTGCCCCTCTTCACCCATTGTTAATTCAACGCAACAGGCTCCCTCGACACCTTCATCATCTCATGTAAGGACTCCTTCATTATTATGATTTTTTAGTGTATGTTTTGTGCTTTGGTATTTATTATTATTATTATTATTATTATTATTAATGTTATTATTATTATTATTATTGTTTGCTTTAGTTTTATTATTTTTTATTGATAAAAAAAGTAATAAATGAGGTATGTGATGTTATAAATTCCTTTACAGGAGGCCCTCATTAAGAAGATTCTCGCCAAGCCCTTTAAAATACCTATCCCCAACTATGTCAGACAAGGGTCATGCAGTCTTGGGATTCGTCGAAATGGAGTCAGAAGACCTTTGCATGATCCAGAGGAGCCAAATGCACTTGTTTTGTACACACCACCTCTGTTGTCTGCGCAAGAAAAGCTCACCGCAAATTTGTAAGCTTCTTGTTCTTTGGTCTATTGCATTTTGGTTTGGAAAGTTTTTTTCTTGTAACCTAATTTTTTGATATGGAAGATTTGATATCCAAGTTAAGTATGTCATTAGTTTTTTGAAAACTGTCTCATCATTCTATGAGGAAGGGCTCTTTACATATTTGTTTTGTATAACATTCTCTTTTGAAATATTTGCTTTTGTTTCATGTTATATCTACTTCAAGGCAAAAGAACCAAGAAAAAAATATATGCTTTATTTGATCTCATCTTTTATAGAACTTTTAGACACTATAATATAAGCAAGAGTTACAGTTCAGATGAGAATTTATGACTGTTTTTTATCGCTCTAGAGAAAAGTTGGAAGTTGCTGTTGTTGTTGATCCACTGCTGTCAAAAATTCTTCGTCCTCATCAGAGAGAGGTAAGGATTACTGTGCAATTATGTAACTCAGGACACATTTTTATGTACTCGGTGTTGGGAGCATGTAAATACCATCATCATTAATGAGTTGATGTTAACCATAACCATCATCATTTATGGAGGGGACATGGTTTGGGTTGATTTATATTTCTAAGATTACACCTTTCCATATTATCATTGTCTTTCTCTGAACAATCTAAATCTGTTCCTCAATCTGGACAGGGTGTCAAATTTATGTATGACTGTGTGACGGGCAAGCAGATAGAGGACAACTTTGGCTGTATCATGGCTGATGAAATGGGTCTCGGTAAGACACTCCAGTGTATCACCTTGCTGTGGACTCTGCTTCGACAGGGACCAGACTGCAAACCCTTGATTGAGAAGGCGATTGTGGTGGCACCCTCCAGCTTAGTTAAGGTATGTTTTTTTTATGATTCTAGCCTTTTTGAATATTTTGTTGTGAGATGCTGGTGTAGATGATATGCATACATGGTGCAGTGTTTTAAAAGCTTGAAAGGTGTTAAGAATTATTTGTAGTTTGTAAAGGTATATATTTAGAAACAGATTGAGATGTGTGCCACATGAAGTGAGATGTTTAGTTCTACTTTAAAGATTTCTTGTGTAGATGTCTTTCCTGTAAAAGAGCATTTCTTCAAAGATTTGAGCATGATATTGTTTATTCCTTTTGAGATAATTTTAAATGTGCACTCGCAGCCAAAGTCCACTCGGTGCTTCCAAATTTCAGCTCATTCTTGTGCATACCGAGGTGAAGACAATGTATCCCAGTGGATGCCCCCATCACCCCTTCCCATAGGCAGTGCTGGAAGGGCACGCCCAGTCATGGCAACTTAGATCGATGAATAATTTCTGTAACGGAGTTGTGGGACTTAGTCATGTGTGAGCGTATCCGTACTGTAAAGAATTACCAATTTAATTTTGCAAAGATGGCTTTTATAGAATTCTTAAACTTGAAAACCTTGATGTTCCAGAACTGGCAGAATGAGATCAATAAGTGGCTGAAAGGCCAGCTAAATTCCTTGGCCATAGATTCAGGCGGGAAATCAGAGATAGACAAGAACCTTGAAGGCTTTATGATGACCCATGGGCGAAGGCCTGTCAATCCTGTGCTAATCATATCCTACGAGACCTTCCGACTTCATGCCCATGTGTTGCACCAAGGGGAAGTAGGCTTGGTACTCTGTGATGAGGTGAGGTCACTCAGTTCTTTTCTTACTAGTTGTTGATGGTTTTTATGCTTTTTATATTTCCCCAGTTTTGTCTCTTGATTAACTTGACTCTTTATCAATTTTTAACAACTGGGTATATCATTATGATAGCTTTCCTTAAAAAATGTTAGTCTGACAAACATTTCACATATATATAGGGCCACAGACTCAAGAACTGTGAGAACTTGACCTACCAAGCTCTGATGGGGCTGAAAGCGAGACGTCGTGTGCTGCTATCCGGAACGCCCATCCAGAATGACCTCCTTGAGTACTTCTCCCTTGTCCACTTTGTCAATGCAGGCATTCTAGGGACTGCTCAGGAATTCAGGAAAAAGTATGAAAGGCCGATTCTTAGGAGCAGGGATGCCGATGCTTCTGACAAGGATCATCAGATTGGGAAAGAAAAGTTGGAAGAGCTTATTGCAGTTGTCAGCAGGTAGGTAGAAATGGTGATGCATGGTAATAGTTTATCTCCAGTCCAAGAGGTATGTGTGTGATATTTAGAATGAAACAGAGTGAATGGCAAAACACTGTGTGTGTGTGTGTGTGTGTGTGTGTGTGTGTGTGTGTCTGTGTGTCTGTGTGTCTGTGTGTCTGTGTCTGTCTGTCTGTCTGTCCTGTGTGTATGTGTGCATGTAAGCGATTTGGCTTTGTTTTTCATGTATTTATTAAATTTATTTGTTTTTGTTAGATGCATCATCAGGCGCACCAATGATATCCTTTCCAAGTACTTACCGAAGAAAATTGAACATGTGGTCTGTTGTCCCTTGACCCCAATGCAAGAGGAGATGTATGTCAAATTTCTTAATTCTTCAGCTGTCAGAAAACAAATCACAGGTAGATTATTCTATTTATTTATTATTTTTTTTTTTTTTTCATGATATTGAAATACATTGAAATACTCAGATATTTTCAATAGTGACTTTTATTATCAAAATTTTCTTAATTTTGAAAGCACTGAATCTCATATTAAAGAAAGTCTTAGCCATTAGATATACCAAATAAAATTGCATATGCCACAGATGGGGACAGAAGACTGGACAACAGTGCCTTGGCTGCCATCACAAGCATGAAGAAACTGTGCAACCACCCGGACCTTATCTGGGAGAAGGTGATGAAAAAGGAACAAGGCTATGCTGGCCTTGCGGAATTCTATCCTGCCAACCACGATCCAAGGTATTGTTGGTGATGTACATGT